ATATGCTTGTGGAAGGAATTCAATTCTTTTAGAATTTTCTCCACTTCTATTTTGTTAGTTATGGCAAAAAGGTCATCTACATATTTGGTCAAGAGTCTTGGTTTTATTTTTAATTTATCTGTAATCTTGTCCAACAGTTCCTCCATTAATATATCTGCGATTACTGGGGAGGCCGGTGATCCCATTGGCATTCCTTTTAGTTGTGTGTATATTTTGTCTTCGTATTTGAAATATCTGTTTTCCTGAATGCAAAATCTAACTATGTTCATAAATAGTTGTTTTGGTATGCTCGTGTGCTCTTCTAATTTGTTCCATTTTTGTCTTATTGTGTCAAGTGCTAATTCTATTGGTATGCTGGGAAATAGAAATACTACGTCAAATGATACTAATGTTTCTTCTTCTCTAATATGGGAGTTGTTAACTCTGTCTTTAAAATCTACCGCGTTCTTGATGTTGTGGCTAGAGTCCATTGTCAGATTTTTTAATATTTGTATTATGTATTTGCACAGCCCGTAAGATGGAGATCCGATGGATCTTTTTTGGTAGTCCATATATCCTCGAAGGTACCGCTGTTGTTGTAGTCATCTTATTTCTTTCGTCCTTTGAAATAAGACCCATCCTGAATAATTGTGCCACGAAGTTGTTATTCTTTGTCTGTAGTCTTGATGTCGGATCCAGTCTCAGTGTTCTATACGCGCATAACTGAATATGTTGTGTGTGAAATTTTGAAAAAAATGATCAACCAAATTTTCACATAAATCTTTAAAAATAATGTAAAGCCGATCGAATGGTAAACAACATAGTATCCAGTTGATCACCAACCGTCCCTAAAAATTCGAGATCTTTGACTCAACATAAAAACACATACAAACAAGTAAGAGGTTTTAGTCGGGAGCTCACGACTAGGGGATACCATGAACCCTCTTCTTCCGACAAAATGAAAGATACTTGATATATAAGTATATACTAATCTAGAAGCTACATGTCAAGTTTGGTGACTCTAGCTCATATTATTTGCCGAAATTGCTCAAAAAACAGGATTTCGATATCGATTTTTATCGATTACTTGGAAACGGAACAAGTTGTCGCATATCTGAAGCAATCTCGATCTGCGCGGACCTACAGCTAAAATTTCAAGTCTCTAGCTCTTATAGGTTCTGAGATCCTTGGTTCATACATACGGACAGACGGACGGACATGGCTAGATCGACTCGGCTATTGATGCTGATCAAGAATATATATACTTTATGGGGTCGGAGATGCTCCCTTCTGCCTGTTACATACATTTGCACAAATCATTATACCCTTTTTACCCATTTTTAATGGGCTCAGGGTATAAAAAAAAAAGTTCCCATGCCAGGGTTCGAACGTGAAACTGACCGCATTAGTTGCTGCCGCCTCTACTCAACAGCCACGCCAGCCAAAAAAACATAGTTTCCTCCGCACGGATCAAACTCGCAACCGACCGCACTACTTGCCGCCGCCTCTACTCAAGAGCCACACCACATTACAATTGAGTTTTAATGAGAGAAAAAACCAATTAAAATATCTTTTGTGTTTCTTAACCGATCTTAATGAAATTTTCGACAGTTCATATTGTAGAATAGAATCTCTATATATAAAACTGTTTGTCCTGACTGACTGACTGACTGACTGACTGACTGACTGATTTGTGATCAGCGCACAGCCCAAACCGTAAGAGCTAGGAAGCTGAAATTTTCACTGTAGTTACCTTATGTGATGTAGGTGCACGTTAAGACGGGGTTTCGGGAAATTCCACTCGCAAGTGTGGAAAAATCGCGAAAAACGTTTGTATGTAACTTTTTTGTTTACCATCCGATCGGCCCCAAACTTATTTTCAAAGATCTTTGTTCAAATTCATTTGAGGGGTGTTTCGCACTTTTCGGAAAACCCATTCCTCCTTGGTGGAAATGGAGGTCAAAGATTTGGTGGGTGACGTCTCGCGCTCAAATTCATTTCCAGTGATCTATATGAAAAATCATTTTAGACGTGTTTCTCACTTTTCGCAGAATTCAAACTTCTTCGGGGGGAATGCGATTTAAAGATTTTTTGGGCGGCGTTTTAAGTTGTGTCCGATTTGCTTAAAACTTATTTTTAAAGCTCTTCATAAGAACTTAATAAGTACGTATTTCAGCGATTTGGAAAATTCCACCCGCAACAGTGGTAAATTAGCGGAAAACGGTTGTATGAAAGTTTTTTGTTTACCATCCGATCGGCCCCAAACTAATTTTCAAAGATCTATATTCAAATTCATTTGAGGTGTGTTTCACACTTTTAGGAAAATCCATTCCTCCTTGGTGAAAATGGGGGTCGAAGATTTGGTGGATGACGTTTTGTGTTCAATATTATTTCCAAAGATGTATAACAAAATCATTAGAGACGTGTTTCACATTTCTCGCAAAATCTAAACTCCTTCGGTGGAAAATGCATTTTTAAGATTTTTTTGGTGAATTTTAAGAGTTTTCCGATTTGCATAAAAGTTGTTTGATTCCCGTCAGATCAGTTTTAAAATCATTTTCAAAGCTTTTTTGATTTTATAACATACGTGCCACGGGCAAGGCCGGGTTATACCCGCTAGTATAGAATATTTGTGTATTCTCAATTGTATTATCAATTGCATTAATTGTGGCTTAAATTAGTGGGCAATACAAGTTGGTTTATTAACTTGATTTATAGCTTTGTGGTGGTAAAGGAGAGGTGGCGATAGCTATAAAATGAAAGATACTTGATATATATATACTATTCTAGAAGCTACATGTCATATTTGGTGAATCTTGCTCTTATTATTTACCAAAACTGTTAAAAAAACAGGATTTCGATATCAATTTTTATCTATACTTCGGAACGGGGCAAGTAATCGAATATCGGAAACAAACTCGATCTACGCATGGACTAGAAGGACCTACAGCTAAAATTTCAAGTCTCTAGCTCTTATAGGATCTGAGATCCTCGCGTTCATACGGACGGACGGACAGACAGACGGACATAGCTAGATCCATATATATACTTTATGGGGTCGGAGATGCTTCCTTCTGCCTGTTACATACATTTGCACAAAAACAATATACCCTTTTTACCCATTTTCAATGGGTTCAGGGTATAAAAATGACTAGTTATATGTCTAGTATAGCAGTTTAGTATGGCAGTAGGGTATGAAGCGATGGCAAATAGTTGCCTGTCCGTTTGAAGGGCACGAGATCGAGCTCCGTATTAAATGTGGTGCATTATTTTGGCTAAACTTTGTACTAATAAACATTCAAATAACATATGCACTTTCAATGAAATCATGTAATCCAAGTTTTTTTCTTATTATACCCGGAACTCATTGAAAATGGGTATTACAGACTATTCTATGGCAAGTGCTGATCAGGTATGTTTCAAATCATATAACTTGCCCCGGCGTGGGTGCTGGACATTTTTTGGTAGAGGCTCAGAGATATCTTAGTCGGGCACTTCCGACTAAAGTAGTTTTACTTGTTTTATAACCAGTTTTAATGTTTCTAGGGTATTGCTATTAAAGGATGTAGTTGTAAACTATTAACCGAAGTTTGAGTTGAGATACGAAGAAATTGGCTCTAGCTCCTCTTGCTATATATTTTTTAATCTTACGTAACATTGTATAGTCCAAATATTGTATGTATATCTTAAGCCTAATAGATAAAAGATATTCTGGATCAGATTCTTAAACACACAATACTCGAACCGTGCTTTATAAATGAATAAATGTGGATAGATCTTTTAAAAATCATCGAGTTGCCTGAAATACTTGGTATTTGATTAGTTAAAATCCTAAAATCGTCTTCTACGAAGACACCTTTTTTTAACCACTTATATGTTAAGAAAACTTTGCTTTGTCTCAAAATTAAGATTCCCACTCTAACCAAGTAGCATAATATAAGTCCGTAGTGTGTGCAACTTATCTGAAACACATTTTTCAATTAAAGTCAAATATTTTGACTCTATGATATTAAAACAAAGGACGAAACACACCGGAACAGATAGAATGTTTTGTTGTCTTAAGATCGAGAGCGACGACTTTGTTTTTTCTTGCCGCCGAGAAGGGCGCTGTGTAAAGGCGAAATCACACTTCACGCCTGATTTGCATTTGTTTACGATCCAAAAAACATGCGAGCCAACGTCTTAGACATGGGAACCGTGATTTATAGCATGCAATCAATCCCAGACACGTCAAGTTGGGCATGTACTCTAAAGCAGATTTTAGTTGCGAGTTGAATAGTAAGTGAGGGATTTATAAAACTGCGACCGTATTAATAATTGTTGCGAAGACCAGAGGAGAACAGGCGAACTACTATTTGCCATATGATTTCGCGACTTTGGCGAGTTTCATTGAGGGCTGATCCGAAATGGAATTTAAGATGGCCGCAGCAAGCACTCCACCACTGCGAAATGGCTTTTGTTTGTCGGGTTGGAGGCGTCACCGGCTGTCTTGATACTTATGGCGAGAAAATGGAAAATTCGATGTCGCCATAAACATTTATTGCTACTTTGGGAAAACTCGATTACAGCCGGCCGCCGGACTCAGACCCCCGTGCCAATGCGCAGCCGCCATTTTACGAGCCGCGCCTGGGCACTTATGGCATCATCAGCACAGGGGCAACACCACATAGCACATGGTACGCATGGCCTGAATATTGGACCCATGCATGCAGTCTACCGCTCATCAGGCCCAGTTGAGCTGAAACGGATTTTGTGCTTAGTCAGGATGCGAGTATGATACACATACTATTATTGGTGCTGGCACTCGGGAAAATGTATACAATTTTCATTTTTATAACATTTACGCTTCAGCGCACGTCTTCGGCCTCCGCGTACGGCAATAAAATGAGAAAATGTTCGCAATCATAAAAGTTTACGAGCACGAGCACCCAAATTGGGTTTGCACATAACAAAGTTTTAAGCGAATATTTTTGCGTCAAAAAAAAGCATTTCATTCGCCCTGAAATCCCTGAATATAATAGGGAAACTTGTCAAAACATTCTATACAATACAAATATGAATCATTCTAAAAATGAACAAAAATATTAGTCTTATATTATTTACCATCTTTTGGGTCTTATTCGGCGTAATTGGCTGGATAGTGGCTGTATGTTTTAAGGAGCGGACCCTTATACGATGTTGCATCTTACTAACCGCCGTCTGTTGCTGGCTTGTCTGGCTGATTACCTTCCTAATGCAGATGAATCCCCTGGTTGGGCCACGCGTTGGTCAATTAAATATTTTGGCAATGATATCATACTGGGATAACTCGTACATGCACAATGAACCGGACCCATAGCCAAGCGCAATTTCCGGCAATGTTTTCCTCCGGGCGAATATCAGGTTAAAGTGTCTTTCAATGTAGTTATAATGCAGATAATAATAATTTCATGTAAATGATATTAGTGCCTCGTTGTGTTAATATCAACATATACACTGCTGAACTCTTGCATGGGGCTTTATAACTAATAATTAATGTTATCATTAAAACTTCTAACATACTGTGATTTTCAAAGATATAATATAATCAATCTTTCCTCGAGAAGGGGCATCAATATGCTAAGGAAATCTAATCCTGATTAACTTGGTAGATACGCAATGTGACAGAAATGTTTATGACCACAGCCACTAAGTTTATAAGCCATCTCGATTAAACCTAAAACACAAGCATTTTTTCTGTTAGAGCTGCAGCACAAGACCACCCTTGCATTCTTGCCAAGATATTTATTAAAACAACACCTCCTACAAATTATATATATCATATGTCAGATTTACCTTAGATTTTGAACATGGACAACATCTACCCAATTTTAATGTTACGCTGGCACACTATTAGACATTCTAGTCTTTAGCCAAAGTTCGACGCATTTACAGTCAGCGAAAGTGCCAAGAGCGTCTTTTGTCAAGGTGTACCTCTAGATTGCTGCTGGCTTTTGGCATGTAGCTACAGCATAAAGTAAATACCAAGAGTCTCAAGACACCTCCTACAGGATGCTTATTTTTATACCACTGAAGGCTGAAGTTATTCCGTCAACGAAACTCGGAGTTAGCGTTCTTAAAAAAAAGAGAAATAAAAAATAAAACTCCATATAACACCGTGAGGATGATGCGGAAGAACACTTAAGTTTGTATGCTAGGGCGTGAGGGGTTTTCATTTTGTGAGGAGCATAACGGCACGAGAAAAGGAGGACCTTGTCGGGAAGAGCCTGGTATGGTTGTCATTATTTCTTCCTATGTGACTTCTTGCAAATAGCGTATACAAAAAAAAAAATCAATTAATTTGCTATTTGATTAAAGCTTACAACGCCTATTTCAATTGGGACTTTTTACTTGACTAAAAAGAAGAATAGACTTATTGTTTTTTTAAGTTGTTGCATTTACCACCGGAGTTTTCCTGCTTTTGCATTAAAGACAATTTCTCTCCAGGTTAGTGAAATGCGAATTGCCGTAGGCGAGCCAATGAGCCATCCTACTATGTTATTGTGTTTAAGCCTTTTTTCTTCTTTTCTTTTTACGATCGCGTTCCAAAACTAGAATCAGCTTAGGTGGCTCGGTCGCTTTCTCAAGCTAAACCTATAAATATTGTTACTAAAAATAAATCAAACAAAATTTAGTTCCATTTACCGGCCCTTCAGAGAGAAAGTCATACCCAGAATTGGATTTAATGACAACAAAAAAACTGAACTAAGATATCAGCCCAGACAAATAGACCAGCATACAATACAATCGCAATTGCAAGCAAGTAAGAGGCTCTAGTCGGGAGCTCCTGACTAGGGAATACACTGAACCCCCTTCAATCAACGCCAATTGCAGCTAGCGCTACGCGCGTGTTTGCTTCAACAGTAATACAAATTAATTTAAAAAAGAAGAAAGTGTTTCCTCGATTGGACCGAACTCTCAAACAGACCACACTATTTGCAACTGCCTCTACTCAACAGCCACACCAATATTTGAGTCTTATTGAGAAACAAAACGGATTAAAATAGCATCACAGAATACAATACAATCACAACTGCAATGCACTTGATAGAATTCAAGTAAGACGCACATGAATGTGTGTGTGTACATGTATACATAAATTCTTGCAATTAGCGCTAGCTGCCGCTGATACGAGGCTTTTGTGTTTCTTAACCGATCTGGATGAAATTTTCAAGAGTAGATCTTATTGTACTATAATATCTTTGTATATTCTCAAAAAGTCAATTACATTTAAATTGTGTCTTTTATTGGTGTGCAGTATAAATTGGTTTATTTACTTGATTTATAGCTATGTGGTGGTAGCGGGTAGGTGGCGATAGCTATAAAATGAAAGATGCTTGATATATATATTCTATTCTAGAAGCAACATATCGCGTTTGGTGACTAGCTCTTATAATTGCAAGATTTGCTCAAACAACAGGCTTTTGATATTGATTGTTATCGATTACTTGAAAACGAGCAAAGTTATCGATTATCGGAAACAAACTTGTATTGCGCAGGCACTAGGAGGACCTACATACCGAATTTCAAGACTCTAGCTCTTATAGGTTCTGATATCCTTGCGTTCATACATACGGACGGACGGACGGACAGACTGAGGGACATGGTTAGATTGACTCGGCTATTGATGCTGATCAGGAGTATATATACTTTATGGGGTCGGAGATGATTCCTTCTGCCTGTTGCATACATTTGCAAAAATACATTGTACCCCTTTTACCCATTTTTAATAGGTTCAGGGTATAAAAGAAAGCACGCACATATATTCTGTTTGCACAAAAGTATATACAGGAGCTCTTCCGATTTGCGCTCTGTGCCCCTCTTTGTGTTATAGAATAGTCGAACATTTTCAGTGAGCTCAGAGCATAAAAGTATAGGCCAGAATTACATTCCGATTCGACGCATTCGCTCAGTTGGAACATCTGTGTTTCGTGTCAGTGTGCTGTATCGTATATACGAAAGTATATTAATGCAGCTCGAGCCTTGCATCAGGGTATCGTATAGTTGGGTATTAACTTGTTTAAAACCCTTGTTTATTTTTTTTATGTTGTTAGCTGCTGTGTATAAGGTTGCGCCACCTACAGCTCATTGCTTGAACCTTATATATATATATATTAGCCAGAACTCAAACCAATTGCCAGTTTCAGCCTGCCAAGAGCTAGGCGCTCTAAAACTTTTGTGAGAATGAAAATGCAAAGAACGCAAGAATTTTTAATTAAAACGTCTTTTTCGCTTTTGATATATAAATATATATATTGGTTCATGTATAAATATACATACATACTTATACATATGTATATATAGCTACTTCAAACGCGCAAAACAGATTTTAATTTCAAATTCTAGAGTTCCTTGCATTTTGATTCTCATGTATATATATATATATCTCATGTATATATATGTATATATTTATATATATGTAAATATGCTCAAAGCCCTGCTCTGATTGATTAACTGATTAGTAATGTTTATACCCAGAACCCATTGAAAATGGGTAAAACGGGTATAATGTATTTATGCAAATGTATGAAAAAGGCAGAAGGAAGCATCTCCGACCCCATTAAGTACATATATTCTTGATCAGCATCACAAGCCGACTCTATTTAGCCATGTCCGCCTGTCTGTCCGTCTGTCCATCTGCCCGTATGCATGATCTCAAGGATCTCAGAACCTATAATATATATAATTTCATAAAGATCGGTTAAGAAACACAGAAGTTATTAAAGAAAACGTGTTCTGGCTGGCCTCGTATCAGCGGCAGCAAGCGCAAATTGCAAAAATTTCTGTATACATGTACACACACACATTCATGCGCGTCGTTGAATTCTATCAACAGCATTGCGATTGCGATTGTATTGTTTTCTGTGCTGCTATTTTAATTAGTTTTTTTTTCCCATTAAGACTCCTTTATTGGTGTAGCTGTTGAGTAGAGCCGGCGGCAAGTAGTGTGGTCCGTTGCGAGCTCGAACCCTGCCGCGAAAATTTTTTTTTATATTTATTTTATTACTAATAAAGCATACGAGCGCGTAGCGCGAGCTGCATTTGTCTTAGGTTTTATAAATGTTCACCCGCATGAAAACGGTTGTATGAAAATAATTAGCTCCACACTTTTTGGGTAGTAAAATCATTTTTAAAGTGATTTACCGGTTTCGGAAAATCTACTCATCTGAATGGAAATTAGGGCCCACGTCAGGAACGGCAATTTTAAATTTTCCTACTAGCGGAAAAAGTGAAACATAAAATTGAAGAATAAACTTGGACGTGAGAAGATAACAGTTATATGCATATAAAGGCTCTATAAACGAACAGCAACAAGTCTTGAAACAAGTGAAAAGTGAACCCATTGGAAACGGGAAAAGAGGTTATAATGGTCTTGTGAATATATATGTAACAGGCAGAAGGAGACATCTCAAACCCCATAAAGTAATATATTTTAGGTCGACGAGTTAAGCCGATTTAGCCATGTCAGTCTGTATGAACTTTCAAACTCTCGAAATTTAAAAACCTATGAACGTGAAAAGACTTTAAAATATATTTTCTATGTTATACGCAAATCTAGCTTTTCAAACTATCTATAAAAATGGATTTTAAGTCTTGATTTTTTAAGCATAACTCGTGTAATATAGACATATTACAATTATTTCACTTTCTGGATATACTCTCCCACCTCCTAGCATTAAATTAAAAAATTAAAAAACATTTTGAATGCTATATTTATGCCCTTAAAGTATTATGAAGATCGAATAATATTAATGAAAGGTACAGATTTTCAATATTGTGATTAAATTTTTTGACAAATTAACGAGCTGAGTCTCTCAAGAGAGCTGTTCTGTATATATCTCGACTTTATTAAAATAACAAAAAATAATTACATTTTTGTAAATTTCATAATTAATCTGAATGAATCCAGATCATCCAAGATGCGTAAAACAATAAAATGACACCAAACACTGATTAATATCTATAAAAATAATATGAGATATATATGTTAGCAAACTTTTCTTATTTTACTTAGATAATATCATGAGTAATTTTGAAATCATAAGATCATGCCGGATGCTTCTTAACAATTAAAAACCTTAATTGTTCGCAGTCCGGTTTTTATTTTTATACATTTTTGTCTTGTATAAAAATTAAAACATATGAACAATTTGCTAAATGTTAACGTTATGTCTGTTAAGACTTATTTACCTGTAATAGTTTGCTTTGAAAGGCCCAGCCTTACTTAAGCCCAGGAATTTCGCCTGTGCGTCGGTTAACTCGGTCAGATGAGCATCAAACGTCGATAGATGCAAGCTAGCTACATATTCATCTGTGAATTTGCATTGGTAACGAATTAACACATTTTATCAAGTCCAAAACAAACAATTGACTTGCCCATTTTCTTTGGCAGTAAATACACATCCGACTTGTACCGCCCCGGTGCTGAGTAAAGTTCAATTAGAGCTAGTGCTTGCGTGGAAGAGGCCA